TTAGATGTAAGGCATGCGTTCTATGTTTCTTCCCTATGTTGTGAAATAAAGGACAAAAAGAAAAAAACACTTAAACTCGGTGAAAAACACTTTATTCGATTCGAAATCGGTGCACCAGATTTTTCCTCGGGTGCCAATAAACACAGGTATTTGTCTGTTATACGGCACGGTCAGTCTTCCACTACCGGTGCTTATCGTTTTAAGCAACCGCCAAGAACTGCTTTTACTGTCTTCAAGCAGTGGCATAATTTTTCGACTGTCTTAAATTCCAATGACAGAATGATAAACCTGTTATAAGCACAGAATCCTTATATCCTTAGAGTGGACTAAAGCATTCTCCTCAAAAATTTCTGATCTTGAGCTGCAAGTTTTTCAAATATATATTGAGAATTTGTAAAGACGATAACTCGTTCCATGGTATTCATTTTAAACATTGTAACTCTGAACAGAATATTTGTGCGGGTCCTGCAGAACCAGACAGCTTCTAATAATTTCAGCTGTTCTTCAATGTAAAATGATGAGTAAAATTCCATTTCAATACAAACACTGATATACTGTATATCCTCCATTATGTGCAAAAATATATACATTCCTTCCTTTAACCACGAGTCAATTTACTTGTCATAAAACTGAAAAAAAAATACTGCTGCATTGCCGGCACGCCCCCAGCATATTTTGCTTTGTAATTCTTTTACTTTTCTTTCAATAAAAGTGCAACGTGTATCATCCCCGGTTGTCCTTCATCATGGGGGGGCGTGGACTGCGGTGCGCCAGTGATGACGTATATTTGGGCATGTAGCCATCACATTCCCCATTTGTTCATTTCATATTCCTTATTTATTAAGTCTGTCGGCCTGACAAACATATGTCCTCTTGCCCTCTCATTCAATGGCCCACGTAAGTCATCGGCGGTGTGATTGATGTAATACCCTCCTTGACGCGGTCACCTGGGCGGGGACATGTGTGAGTTGAGGAATGTCAACAAGAAGGACACCTTCAGGCAAAACTGAAAACTACTGTAAGCTGCAACATGGCGACTGGCCGTGGCGCCGTTTATCGATGACCCTAGGGGGGAAAAGAACGAATATCTCAAAATGTTTGCTTATTTAATTATAACCCTCTTTTTAAAGGACAGTTCCTTTTGAGGCATTAAAAATTATTCATATTTCTTTTCAAAAAATAACTTGTAGCACTATGAGTTCCCAAAGACGGTAAGAAAATGTCTTTTTCTGCCATTCCAAATATACAAACCGGTATACGAAAATAATTTATAAAGATTTATATTTTTCTGCGTCAGATTTCCTGACCTGTCTCTTTAAACGAGTACAGGCGACATTATAAAAGGATTGTTTCATACGTCAAACTTGCGTCATCCAGTGATATATTCTAAATAGGAAATATGTCATGTATTGTATCATAGCTCCATCTCTCCCTCGATTAAATGTATTTTATATTGGATGGTCTCCTAAGGTAATATACCGGTAGAAGGGAAGACGGAAATGACGTATGGGGCATTCATAACTGGGGAGGAATAAAATATAGCAGACATTCCCAATAAAGGTTAATGAGATTTTATGAGCTGAATCAGTTAAGACCACTACAAATATCGTTCCCTTTTATATTGAAAGATAGAAAAACACCTACCTGGATCAAGCGTGGAGAGTTTGATGTCAAAGTAATACTCGGACGTTCTGGTATATTTTTTACCCAACAGGAATATAAAGCTGTCTGCATAGACGTGTAGGACTTCATTAGTGTAGTTCCGGCAGTTGTAAACTCTCTGAAACAGAATTAATGGATACAAAACGACGATCGAAATATTAAAAGGAAATTTACAGGCCTGAATCAAAATACTGACAAGTGCTCGGATGTACTGCCATCCGATTTAAAGATTCTATTGTTATTGCTTTTTAGTATCACTACATTTGAAGTACGCTTTTCCTGACATTATATATAAAAATGACATTATAGCAATATTTAGTTGGCGAATGGCATTTTGTATTTGCATGTTTCACAAACAGTCATTATTGAGTTAATAGATTATCATGTTGGTGAAACACCGTTATGAATCAATTTACTTATTCACTGTTCGATTCTCACAATACTGTAGGATGTCTATCTTAAAATAGCCACATTTTAGTATGAAAAGGTAAATAAAAACGTTTCTGTTATATAAGCGTTGACGTTGTGTATAGAGAGAGGCATGTCGTTTTGATATTAGATTGTTTTCAAGAAGTAGCATGTGGCGGTACTTTGGTCAGACAGTTTGTATTGTAATGGGGCAGATACATTTGGAATGGAATTTGGAATATGAAATAGTTTCCTTACTGAAAGAATACCCGTTGTATTTAACAACGAAAAAGGCGTTTTTAACGAAAAAGGCCTTTTTGTCGTTTATCACTTTTTAATAAATTTCAAGCAGATCATACCAGAAGTGAATATTTCTGTAGCAATCCAGAGAGAATCGTCAGTGTAACATCACAGTTCCTGATTTCAAACTTTGTAATCTCTATGACGAAATATCTCGCCACCTTGCCGTGGTAACCTTGGGAACAGGCTTTTGGCGGGAAACTTGGCACTCTGGAGGCGGCGTGGATTCCATGGATATGAATCACCTCGTTTATTGCAAGGGAAAAGTTGTGCATCTTCCTGTTACTGGAACAGAAGTCTGTCGTGTCCATGTAATCTGGAAAGCATAACAATATAATTATTATTTTTATTATTGTTATATGTTTTTTGCATTTATATGCACGTTTCATGTTGCAATAATATTTTCAGACTCCACAGTCTATTCATCATAATGATAATGATGGTAATAATTGTTTCCTATTTACATAATGGAATAAAGATTTCATCGTACCAAGGGTTTCTCTTTCCTTATTTACACTGACAGATACAGGAAAAGCGCAATAATGAAAATGGAAAATCAGCTTTGAATTCCAAATACCATAAAATAGGAGAGTTACCGGGCATATGGCTACTACTGGAGGGGGGGGGGAGTCAAACACTTTAACCCCCCCCCCCCCCCCCCCCCCCCCCCCCCCCCCCCCCCCCCCCCCCCCCC